CATCTTCCGTCTTGATTCCACAAGAAGATGCAATGGCGGTAGCAGTGGCAACGTTATCACCAGTCACCATCTTGACCTGGACACCTGCCGAGTGGCATTTGCGAATAGCTGACGGGACTTCGGGGCGAAGGGGGTCTTGGATACCCACAACTCCGACCCAGGTCATATCATGGAAGAAATCCTCGAAGTTTATCGAAGCATCTTCAGACTGCTTGGCTTCTGTCGGGGGCCAGGTTGCGAAGTCCTTATAAACCATGCCAATTGTCCGAAGAGACTTGTGGGCATAATTGTCAATAGTCTCGAGAAGATCCTTCTTCTGTGCCTCCAAAAGCTGCTCCACATCTGGTTTCTCTTTTGAAATATCAATGTTGACAATTTCTGTGGTGCAGACGCCGACCATCAACTCGGACGCTCCTTTGACGAGCAGTCGGTAGCCAGCACCAGGAACACGGTAAACAACACCCATGCACTTCCTGGCGGAATCGAAAGGAATCAACTGGGTGATCTCGGCAGAGCCACGCTCTGAGACGAGATCCATGCCCATATGATCCCGGGCTAACTGAAGCATCGCAACCTCAGTCTTACTTCCGACGAAATCTATGGAGCCGTCCTTTTCCTGTTCAAAGGCAGTCGAATTCAAAGCGATGCTCTTCATGATCAGATCTTTGATGGGGGCTGATAAGTTCTGGGAGACCGCCGAGATAGTCATCGAACCCTCCACATCTGCATCTTCGGTTCTCTGGCTGAAATTCTGATCCAAGCCCCAGGTTCCGGCCACTACAGTCATTTTGTTCTGTGTCAATGTACCTGTTTTATCAGAACAGATGACTGTGGCATTGCCCATTGTCTCGCATGCGCGAAGTACACGGACGAGGTTGTTCTCCTTGACCATCCTAGTAGTAGCAAAGGCCAATGCCAGCGTAACTGCCAATGGAAGACCCTCTTGTGAAGAAGATTTATGTTAATAGGGTTCAAGTCATTCGGCGATACATCAGCGCTTACCTGGAATAGCGACAACAATAACCGTAACAGCAACAATGAGAATATCCACAAACTCTTTTCCTTTCATCGCACCGTTCTTTTCAGGGTGATCAGGAAGATCGGCTACAAATCGGAAGAGCAGAATAAAGAACAAGAGACCAGCAGCTCTGTAAATTATCATCAGTCATCTGTTATAAGAAAAAGGAAGTGAGAAGGGTATACACACGCTGTACCCAAATATCCAATCCAATCTGCCAACTTACCCAGTTTGACCTGAAGCGGCGTTGGATCATTAGGAGTCTGCAGCGATAGCAAGATCCGTCCGTAGGTGGAATAGGGCCCAACACTGGTGACAACATAAGTTCCCACACCTTCAAGGACCTTGCTGCCGGAGATCAAAAACGGATCGAGTTTCTTGTTTGCCTTGCCGCCGACAATTTGCTGCCAGACTTCATGGCCGGGTGTCTTTTTCATTTGATCCGACTCGCCGGTGGCGGAAGACTCGTCGCATTTTATACCATAGCCTGAAACTAGTACGCCATCTGCGGGGATGGAATCGCCTGCTTCGAGGTGGAGAATGTCGCCGACCATGATATCGTAGACCGAAACCATGTCGGTTTTGCCTGAGCGGGTGACTTTGACTTCACGGTCATCGTTCTGTTGAGATGTTAGCTGTGCTCACTTTCAGGATTAGTAGGGGAAGACTTGCACGTTTGTTGAGTTTGGCAAACTGTCTCTCTTTTTGCCAATCATTCACAGCTGTGACAACTGTCACAATCAAAATTGCTACACAGATGGCGACTCCTTCCACCCAGTCAACGCCTGAGCCTTCTGATACGGTTTCGTATATCCCTAGGGATAGTGAGACCACGGCGGCGATAGTCAATAATATAATAATCTTATCGTTGTATGCAGCCCAAAACAATTTCAGGAAGCCGGTTGATTTCCGAGCGGGTAGTTTGTTCTGACTGAAGACACGAATACGATCTTCGAAGGGCGAGCCATGACCAGATGACGCCGGTGAGGGCGCCGAAGTGACAGACTTTGATGAAGATTTCTCTGTAGATGCATGTTGGACGGAAGGCGCCACATCCCGGAACTCAACCTTGCCCTCCAGACAACCTTCATCTACTGACAATCCAGCAATCAGATCTGTTCGTAGACCTCGCTCCAGCCCCTGTAATCCGCCAAGAGCATGGAATGCAGCCAGGGACTTCGGGTTCTGCATTTTGTTAAGTTGACCCGGGGAAAACGCAAATCGATTATCCTCCACTTGGAAATCAGATTCATTCCGCGGATCTGGTTTCAAAGCATCCGCCAGCGATACATCGTCATATGCATCTTTGGAAGTATGGGCCGGGTCTACTTCGGAGTTCGCCCGCGAGCGAACCATAGTATCTGCAGAAGAAGCGAATGAGTCCGCCCGCGGACGCAACGTATCGCCATCAATCGACTGTGACGGTCGATTCGAGGGATTTTGAACCATCAGCAGGGCTGGATCTGGTTGATGCCAGGCCATATCTGGCGAGACGGGTGAAGTCGGGCTGTGGTTTAGATCTGTAGGACCTGACCATGCGGAAGAGACTGTAGATACAGATCGCTGTAAGGGAAAAAGGAAATGGGATGATCAGCGAAAGAGTTCAGGCATCTATAGTATAGCTTGGGTGACCAACCTCTCTGCCCGAAAAATCAGTCACTATGACAGGACTCAATAGTGAGCCCTGATGGGAGGAGCCATTTTTCGAAGAAGACATAGAGTGTGAATCGCACGGAGCTCTTCCATAAGATTATGCGAATCAAGTTTTAAAAGCAACTCATGCAGGAGTCCATGTAATGTGCTCTGATCCGGAGCAATTGTCTCGTGTACCGCCGGGGTTGCGAGCCCTTGTTATCTTTTCCCCCTCTCAACGGGGCTGTGTTCGATGCCCAGAAATGCCGAGGATTTAGTCGGTTTTCTTCTGGCAATTCACGACGAGGGTTTGAAGGTTTCTTTTGCAAGGGTTGCAAATATTGCAAAGAATGCCAAGTATAAGAGGGAAATTTTATATCCACTTGAAAGAATCGGAGCGATCAAAAAGTAAAAAACACAATATATGGTCGTGAAGTGGTGTCAGAAAGTGCCACTTAGTACGGAGTACCCGCATGGGGTACAGACACAGCCCCCTTTTCCAAGGTCGCAAGCGGCAATCTTTTGTCAGTTAGGACAAGGGGGGCTACGGAGTCCATGTATGAGCACGGAGTAGTACCAGGTTATAGAAGAGGGCGAAGTTCATAGGCATCCATCCCCCCAAAAGCTGAGGAATGTAAGCGCTGGGCTCCTCTTTCTCTAACTCTAGCCCCGTTTCTTCACGTCCATGCCACACATGCATAGCTAAATTCTGGGATCCAGCGGCTGTCGAGTAGCGTTACGCCATATTCAGGTACCCAATGTGAGGGCGTTGTGATCAATTTGGGTTTTATCATTGTGGATAGGCCAAATGCTGCGCCTCGCGGGCGGACCCAATCAATTGGGATCTTTCACCGCGACAAACTGTGTGTGTATTGGCCTTTTTGGTTTGACCATGGGTGCAAGTAAGGAGGCAAAGACCAGTTTCTTTGCATCATGGGGCTTGATTGTGTGTGTTCTAGGTTGCTGAGGATGGGGTAGGTGTCCACTTGGTGAGCGGCTAGACTGTGCGCATCATTAGCACGCGGCACCACTATCAGAACCTATCAAGGCACGCGACAAAAAAACTTTCTTGATTTTTGCAAGCCCCTAGGCTGTACTGCCTAACAACTTCATGATGGGGGTTCCGAGTGAAAGGAGGCCTGGACAAGGAAGGAAGATCGTCCTCTGTGGCGTTTTGTGGCGGTGCGTTGAAAAGTGGCGGTGCGGCTCAAGTCCTGGCGCTAATGGGCTCCATCATGACCCAGGAGGCAAGAAACACAACCAGCTAGGTTATAGAAGGCAGTGCAATAGGTGACAGTGATACTGGCGAACTCACACCAAGGAAAGGCTACTCCAAGGCTGTTAAGTGGCTAGACAGAAGCCCTTGTGCTCACACACAACATATAGGAACCGACAGTGGTCGTAAAAGGAAATCCAGTCCAAACATGGTCTTAGGACTTGTAAGTGAAGACAAGCTTGAGAAAAGGCCAATACTCTAATTCGGATCTGATGTGAATCTTGGGAACAGGGCCTGTGCCTGCTTCTAGGTGTATGCTATGAAAGCTTGCTTGAAAAGCAAGTTTTTTTGGAAGTGCGGCCAGTTTGCGAAGCTCGAGAAAAGGCATCCATTTCGACTCGTCGGGCAAATGGAACGGAATATCTATATCAACTGTGGCTGCAGAAGCTAGTCTCAGATGGCATCACGATGGTAGTCTGACGTCTAAGATGAAGCAGTCTCATAGGCCCTGACACGTGATCAGCATGCACAACAAGCCATACGGCGGGATTTGTGCGCGAGGCAAGGCGTATTCCACGGCTGGTGGGCGCCTGAGCAACCTTGGAAATTATGCGGCAGGCATGCGCCATCTACTTGTAGTAAGCTGTACAAAATCTGAGTTATTTCTCTGCCAGGAGCCATCTATATGTAAGCGAACTCCGTAATGCTTCATGTATGACGCTCGATAACTTGGATTACATTGATTACCCGAGCTGGTACTGCTCAGGCCTTGACTCATACAGGTGTACTAAGAGAACAGAGTAATGTATCCACAATGATAAAGAATGTTGAGGTTAAATGGGAAGATAGTGAAGAGTAATTTGAACAAGAAGTAAGAGAAAAAAGGAGCAGAAGAGAGAAAATAGAAAGAGGGGGTATCAAAGTAAAGAAAAAGAATAGAATGACAAAATCACAATCAAAGACAGAGAAGGAGATTTTGCAGCCCAAAGAGGGAGAATCAAAGAGAAGATAATAACAGTAAAAAAAAAAGGCACGATCGGGGACAAGCCCCGGAGTCCGATGCCAGGGTCTGCGCCCCCACCCACCACTTCATTTCCATCATTTCACATATATCCCATATCGCGATGTTGACAATTACTGATCCATAACCTCAGTGAAGCGACTGCTCCGACTCCCGTCGAAACTATGCAGACTGCGGCCGAGTCCATCCGGCCGCGGCGGTACGAAGGGCATTGCACTCTGGGGTTGCGCAACGGGGTGGGCCGGCGTGACAGTGATGGGAGTGGCAACGGTCACCGTATTGGAGTTAGGGAGATGGGTAAGGTTGGGCCGTGTCGGTGGGGTGGGCTCCTCAACCTCACGGGTGAAATTTGAGTCTAGGGGACTGCCGTATGGCGAGGTTGGGGGCGGAGCATAAAATGAGGGTGATGCCATTGGTCCCATTGCTGGTGAGGTAGCAGAGAAACCTGATCCGATGGGAGAATCGCCGTCGAATCCGCCACCATATCCGTCTCCACCGTGAGTGAAGACGGGAGGAAGCTTTCTGCCGGAAATCTTTTGGAACCCGCGTTCACTGGGGGCAGAGTCAATGGTGCTTCCAGAGCGGGTTGTTGCAGTTGACTGGCGCCAGCGCTTCATGAATGCGGGGGCGAGATATGAAGCTGTGAAGAGGGGGTCGTTGCTTTCACGTCGCTCGACAATTTCTCTAGACCCAGCCCCTGCTCCAGCTGCCGCATCACCTATCATATTGGGACGTCCCGTTTTCTCCATAAAGAATCCTCGGCGGCGGAGATAATAAAATAGAAGAAGAGCGATAAGGGTCAGGCCGGCAACTGATCCTACTACACCGCCCACGATTTTAGGTGTGTCGGGATTGCTGGTCGAATTCTGCCCCAAGACTAGCGTTTGACTTGCAGTTGGCGTAGATCCGGTACCAGTCGCTGAGCTAGTCGACTCGGAGCCTCCATTTACATTTGATGAAGAGGTTGTGTAGTCTGTGCTGGAGGCCGAGCTCGTCGACGAGCCGGAGTTGGAGTTAGAGCTGGAGGCGGAGGCAGAACTGGAGCTATGATCAGGATATAACCAGTAATTGTGCGCTTGGGATAATGTGGTCGTAGCAGAGGGCTTGGGGCTAGATGGAGCGATGAGGCGAGTCGGAGTCCGTACAGGCGAATTGATGACTGTGGCCGAGGCAGATCTTGATGCTGATGGAAGTCGACTTGTTAAGTTTGTGGAAGCGGTCGAAGAAGTTTGAGTGGAGTCCGCGGAGCTTGAAATCGATGTATCAGATATTGACGATGCTGTCGGCGAGGTCAATAACCCTAAATCTATAGAGATACTCGCAGTCGCAGTCGCAGTCAAGCCATCTGAGCCAGATGGAAGGTCAGTGGCATACGCAGAACCCGATATCGTTGTCGGAAATTTGGTAGCGGTCGACTGAAAGGGGATCTGTGAGCTAGCATCGACTACCTGCAATACAGTCTCAATTATAGTCGGGTCGGCGGAGGTCGTCTCATCCCGCTTTTCAAGCAGTAGATCAGATTCATTCATGCCACGTTCAAGACACAGGGAATTTTTTGAGTCGCAATTTTCATCCGGAACTTTATCAGTATCGGGGAGGATGGGGGTTTGATCAGGTAAATCAGAGCCCGCATCTTGCTCATCAAGCCCGGCTTTCCGGTGGCGCCTGATGCTAATCAGTTTGCCGATGCGCGAGTGACCGTGATGACCATGAACCATGTTGACGGCTTTTCCATACACTTCCACGTGAATTGCCAATCACATGCAATATAAAATTCAAGACAAAGTAGCAAAACAAAATACGTATGATCCTAACAGAGGTTGAGCTTTGCAGTATTGTGAAGAATGGGGCCGATAGGTTAAGTAAACGAAAGAAAAACACGTTCTAGCGAGCTCCCCGTTGGGGTAGGAAGATTGATAGATCGTCTGAATAGAATGACGCGGTTGATAGTATGAATGAGTGGATGTTGGTAAAAGGGTGACCAAACGTGGTGATCAACAAGAAAAGCGTAGTAGGAATAGCAGCTCAAGAATATCGTGATATATCGTGCACAGTTATGTGGAGGGAATGACAATCGTACAAACGACTAAGCGGAGTTAGTATGGATGAATTTGGGTGCAGCCCCACGCCATGTAGGCAAACAGATCGAAGGCTTCCAACTGATACCAACACATACCTGGAGTATAATAGTGATGAAAAGAGTTGTATGAAAGGAAGAGAGCCTAGCCTCTCGTCCTAATCCATTGTGTTTGGATATATGTAACCACAAGGAGGAATATAGAGTGTTTAATATGTCAAAACCGTAAGCAGGTCAGACGGGACAGGTCTGAGGGCAGTATGGTCGCACTGGCACAATTCTCAGCTGTCAGAGGGGATGAATGTACACAGAATGCAAAGCAAAGAGGAGACCAGAAAGCGGCCAAAAAAGACTCAAAAGCGATGTGAAAGCGAGACACACGAAAGAGAAGCGAAATGGGAAAAATGATGGAAAAGACCCAGACCGGACCAAACAATCCCCTATCGAGGCCTAGTCTATGCGACCCGTGTTAGTGACGAACTAGGCTCGAGGGCCGACAGATCTTCTTTAAAATTTTTTTTTTCCCTTGCTTGATTTCAGGGACAACGATGTCTGAAATTGAATTCTAATGCTCTTTCATGCATAAAGAGGAGATAATAACCCCCCCAAAAGACCAAAAGCCAGTTCTCTGTCAACGCAGGTACCGCTAGGCACCGCAGGATTAACGAATAGAAAGTGACAGGACCCAGATGAGGTTCTAGCCATGCCGACTAGTCTATTTTGGGCTTAGTCTACCATGCAGGTTTAATTATCGTCGGCTTAGTATCAAATGGCTATTTACGTAAGGCAAGGGACAATGGTTACGTGCATAACTACTCCATATGTACGGAGTAAATCAAAGGTTGTCTTTGGCATATGTCTTTGGAGTCTACAGGTATGAACTCAATCTCTCCTGAAAAACAATAATCTATTGTGTGTCACTCCACCTGATCCCACTCTACGGAGTACGTTTTACTAACGAATCATTTGCCGATCCCATTCTCCATAAACCTATTTTAAGCCCAAGTGTCAGACCACAATCTCCCTGGAAAAATAGGCATTTGACTCCATATCTACATGCTCGTCTTATTTGACAACGGAAGACAAGAAAGAATAAAAGACGTGGGGGTATTAGTAACGGGTCTTTCCTCCTCTCCGGGCTAGAACTTATTTCACTTAGAAAGTCTCGAGCTCGTCGGCTGCAACTTCCTCTCCTTCGGCGGGGATCTCGAAGCCGTCCTAGTGTGGGGGCGCATAAGCGTCAGTTTGGGGAATCCTGAGCAAATAGGGCAAGGGAACGGACCTCGGTCGAGTATAGAATGCCCTGGATGTGCTTAACAAGCGTGTCCTCCTCTTTTTCAAGCTCGGGGTCGGCTTCAATGGCACTCTGGAGCAGCAGCTCAATATCACGCAGCTTGGCAAAGTAGAAGTCGCGTTCCTTCTCCAGTCCTGCGATCGCTTCCTTCTGTGTCGAGATCTCCTGTTGAAGGGCAGCGGTGGCCGCTCCACTGGCCGCAGTGGCAACTCGGGGACGGACGCCGCCGGTTGTCGGGGTCACTCCACGGCGTGCGCTGCCAGCAGACGGAGCGCGCGAAGCAGGGGCTCCACCAACGGAACCAGGAGCGCCGGAGGCCTTGCGCCGGCCGACGGAGTCGTATTCACCACCGGGATAGTGCTGGTCCCAGTATTTCTTAACCCATTGAAGGAACTCAAGGTTGTCCTGCATGCGACACTTGGTGAGGGACTGAACAGGGATGGGTTTGTTGACCTGGTGGCGGGCGAAGACATCTGGGTGATTGGATATGTTAAAAAAGGGGATTGTTGGCCGATTTGGAGCCCGCCTTCACATACTCTGAAGAACCTTGAAGTTCTGGAGGTAAGCATATTCAGTGTTCACGTTGAACTTGACCCGCGACATGGGAACGTCCACTGAACAAAGAGACCAGTCAGTATATCTTCCAGAACCCAGTCCGTGACTATCTGTCTCTCAATTACTGTGAAAGTCGTGGTAGTTACATACTGAAAATCGAGTCGAAGATCTGGCAGAGGGCAGCACTATAGAGAGACAAGATAAAAGGTTAGCTCATCCGATCTATACAAAAAGGTTGCCCCGCGGGCCGTTTAAAGTCGGGAGAGAATATTGATCAACCATACCCAGTTCCACACTGCTCAATCTTGGTAAGGTTCAGCTGAAGCAGGTTGTTAAGCCATGCCAACAGTTCCTGTCTAAATGCATAAATCGATCGGCGTCAGCAAGGCCATATTCGTCGCGAGATGGCGGGGGATAGGAGAAAAGCTGAACCTTGATTCACCCATGATGGTGGGGTAGAGTAGTTATCAATTGAAACGCTAAAGCGAAAGATGAGATTGGAATGAGCGCTAAGCAGAAAAAGAGCTGGATGAAGATGTTACACCGCAAGACCAGGACTTCTTGTTGGTCTCTGCTTGTGTGGTTGATGGAAAACAGCAGAGGGATTGTTTTGATGCTAAATCCCACGGACCACACTGGCGCTAGCCCACTTTTTCTGGCGAATCACACATGGATTAGCTAATTAATGCCTTGATGCCTGAGGTGGAATGTTGCACCTGAGGTATCATATTTTAGCCTGAGATTTTACCTCGCTGCATGGAAATACTACACCGTCAAGTGAAACGTTCAATTCTGTCGCAGCGGGTGAAAATCTCGTATCTCCCATCAAATTGTCGCCTCGTGCTTGGCTGACTGACCGCCCCCTCTACCGCCTTCCATGCGCCACATTTGACACATTTGACCGGCAGAAATGGTCGATCTATTGATTTTGTAGCTACCTTGTCACCTCGTGCGACCACCCAACTCACTAGACATTGGAAATTGTGGCTGTCATGATTTAAGATATACGATACTTTGTGCTAAGCATACAGTTTTGCACTGGTGTGAAGCGTGTAGGCATAACAAAAACACGAGAATTTATTTTTGCCAATGTTCCAGCCTTGTCCAGTTTGTGCCCAATACACGAAACCTCATATCCCACTTCCACTAGCAATGTATAAGAATGATGACCGAAACAAACCAAAAGGGGAAAAAAGCAGCGCTGAAAAGAAGAGCAAGCGGCGTATAAACATATGCAAGTAGATCACTCCTCTAACAGATCGATTCCGTCTAGACCATATCCAAAGTCTATAATGACAGCCCGAGAATCCTGGCTCGTCGCAACAATGCGTCTATAATCGGATTGCACACTTAGCATCCAGCTTGTGGTCCAGCCAGGGAAGTTGAGAGACAGATCACCCGTATCACAATCGAACACCTTGACGCTCATGTCATAGCTACCGCTAATGATGCGTTTATTTGCGCTGTCGAGATGTAGAGATCGGACGAGGCCCGTGTGCCCGTGGAGCTCGTTGACAAGCTCGCCCGTGTTAGCATCGAATTGATATATTATGCGGTCGTTGCCACCAGTAAGGATAGTCCGGCCATCGTCACTGAATTCGACACATGCGAGGCCACGGTCCTTGCTAGTGAACTCCTTAACACACTGGCCTGAGATCACATTCCACATCTTGGCAACACCATCACCACTGGCTGACGCTATAAGATCACCGCGTAGCTGCACAGCATTTACTGGCCCTTGGTGACCGTTGAGCTGCCTCAAAAGCTCACCCGTGTTTCGGTCCCACACACAGATGGTGGTATCCTTGGAGCATGAGACGATGTACCGGTCATCAAAGCATACATCAAGCACGCCGGCGTGATGACCGGAAAGACGACGGATCGGTCGGTAGTCGTCCTTGATGTCATACACGATACAGGTGAAGTCTGAAGACCCCGTGACCATGATCTCCTCGTCAAACTGCAGACACAGGATGGATGCGCTGTGGCATATCGATTCACTCTCCAAAGGTGCCGTGATTTCCGCCGTCTCATCCAGCGTGGGCCACGGAGGCGTAATAGTCATGAAGGGAGCAGTCCCTGTGGCCTGGGAAGTTGGATTGTTCACTGGACCACGGCGGAAAGTCTGGGCCGCAGGTGGCCCAATGATCTTCTTACATGACCACGGATAGTGTGCGTCCCACACACGAACCGTCCGATCACGAGAGCCGGTAATGATCTTTTTCCTAGGAACTTGTTAGCAGTGCATCACATCAACAGATTAATCTCAACTTACTCGTCAAATTGAGAGCAGTAGATACTGTCCTCGTGACCTTGAAGATAAATTGCTGCGGCCTTACCAGTCTTCCAGCGTCGATCGAGAGCGCGCCGAACAAGGAACTTCTTCTTCCAGTCCTGGTTCAGGGTTGACTTCCCTAAGCCGGATGACAGCTTCAGCTTGGAGGCCGTCTCGCTTTCTGGCCGTCGGCCATATGCATTGCGGAATGCGTGCCTCCAGACATGAGAGGACGACGCACGAAACCAGGTGCGCGACACGAGCTCCGCACCCATGAGGGAATCAGGGTCCAAATAAGAAAAGATGTGTGATGTTATCTCGGCCGGGAGCAGGGCTACGGGGTCTAAAAAAAAGGGTGTGAGCAAAACACGCGCGCTGCATAAGAGGGAGCTCATCCATACCAAGTCGCATCATGGCTAGCAAATCAGTGTCCGGCACATCCGATCGATCGCGCAAGTCAATACAAATACCGCTCTCCGAGTCCTGCGGAACCCTCAGATCGAGCAACTTGTTCTCTAGTTCCGCCTTAGCTAACCGCGCAGCCTCCATCTGCTCGTTCTGCGCAGCGGCTGCGGCGCGCGCCGCTGCACCTGCGGATTTGTGATTGGGCAGAACTGGAGGTTCCTGCCCACGGCCGGGGATGGGGGCAGGGATCGAGGCGGTGGGGGCATAGAAACTGTGCAGGGCAGACACACTATTCAAAGAAGGGCGCCGATTGACACTGTAGCCCTGGTGCGGATGCGGCTTCGTTGACCGAGCATCCCAGCTACCGGAGGTTATCCGCTTATGGTTCGCATGGCTCGAGATATGGTGATATGTTCGTTCATCGTCATCGACCAATTTGATGTTCTCGATGAGAGGAATTGATTGCTTCGAGGGCTTGTTGCGAAGACTGACGGACAACCGGCGACCAAGAGCGACCAATCCATCCACGGGATGCTTCAAACTTGAAAAGCTTTTGGCACCACGACGCCGCGGGGCTGCGTCCGGGAACGGATCCATCTCTTCCACGACCGGTGCATGGTCATCCTGGAATATTTCCATTAAGCATGGCTGCTCCCATGTATCTAAAGCCAGCTCTTTTGACATCGGGGCAGCATGACCTGCAGTGCGTGGGCGCGGACGAAATGACAGCGAGGGGCGTCGCCTCGTGGAGGTGGCGTTAGTTTCTCGTGGCGACATGACTGAAGGACTGAAGTTGTTGATGTGTCGAGGGCAAATTCAACAATAGCTGGATGGATTTGGATCGTTGATATGCGACGGCAGTTGTTGGGACAAAGAATGACAAGGCTTTTTGTGAATCCGGTCTATTTGTTGTTTGTCAACCGATGTGGCGGTTGGTCTCGGAGGTTCTGTGATATAAGTCTAACAAAGTGTATAGATCAATAACCGTCCGCAACTCCAAGAACTAAAGAGAATGAAATAGGAATGAAAGAGAGTAATGAATGAACTACAGAAAGAGAATAACAAAACAAAACCTGGAGGTGCAAGGAGAACATAAATATGGGCGGAAGAATTCCAGAGAACAGAACGAATGGGTCTGATTTATCGGGCGGTGAATTGGGGAGAGTGATTGGTTCGACTATCAAGTGACTCTGTAGTCTCTGGTACTAACATTACAGTACTACTTAGTTAGAAAATCTAAGTATTGAATACTTTTGGAGTACCCGCCCATGCAGATTTTTAAGGCGTCGGAGAGGGGGGGGGGGGCAAACCCTGGGCGGAAAACAGCCGGAAAGTGCGGAGTAACTGTGACATGGATCGCCAGGATAATTGCGCTGCGGATCGAAGTACCGACTACTTACACTCCGGTGGCGATTCGGCTTTCTGGGTTTTTTTCTGTTGAGAGATGGCTATTGTTAGTACAGCAACCTGAAGTGGATGTTCAATTTATATAATTGGAAAATTGATTTCCATCTCTTCAGAAAATTTTGAAAAACACCCCTCATCCCAAGCCACCACTCCAGCCAACTCCCCTAGCCAATTCCCCCACCCGATCTGTGATTTTCTATTTTGACACCAACCATGCACATGATCCTCAAAACTGATTATCTATCCCCTTCACCCAAAGATCTTCTCATATCCGGTTAGAGTGAACCGATAGTGAACATCGCCCTTCTTCATGCGTAGCATGGCCTCCCTGAGTCCTTCCTCTCCGATAGCAATCTCTTCCACCCAACCCTTAAGACCCCGATCCGCAGCCAGCTGCAACATATCAAGCATCTCCCGACGGCTACCCAGGTGGCTAGCACCGATGAGAACACCGTTAGAGATCAGGTTCTGAGCCTTTATGACCTGTCCTTCCTCCTCAGGAAGACCAACACTGATCCAGCGCCCATGGACATCCATCATGGACAAATAGCGCGCAAGATCAAAACCCTCGGAAGAGTTAGCGCAGTTGACAATCAAATCGAACGAGCACAGATGCTCCTTCTCCCAGCCCTCCTCAGCAGTAGCAATGTAACCATCAGCACCGAGCTTGAGAGCATCCGCTTCCTTAGCACGAGAGCGGGAGATAGCCCACGTCTCCGCACCCAGCGCCTTGGCAAACATGATTCCAAAGTGACCAATGCCACCCAGTCCAACGATTCCAACCTTCTTGCCAGGACCAGCGCCATTGCGCACCAAGGGTGAGTACGCCGTCAGTCCGGCACACAGCATCGGAGCAACAGAGTTGGTCTCCAGCGCGTCCGGGATCGGGAACACCCAGTGCTCGTGTGTCCGCACGTGAGATGAGTATCCGCCCTGGCTGACGATACCACTGTCGGCCCACTTCGAGCCGTAGGTGTCCATAGGCTCGACTTGGCAGTATGTCTCGTTGTCGTTGCGGCACTGTTTGCACTTGCCGCAGGAGTAGGACTGCGCACCGACGCCAACGCGCTCGCCTTCCCTAATCAGAGTGACCTTAGGTCCGACACGGATTGCCCGTCCGACGATCTCTAGGGGGGTTATTAGCCTGATACAGTGGCCTTTTTTGAATTCCATTCTAGATACGTACCGTGACCCACGCACAAGGGGAATTTTTGATCACCCCATCCTCCTATAGGAATATGTTAGCCGGTCCTTCTACTTGGTATTTCAACAAATTGACAGAAGAACCATACCACTGATAGTATGTACATCACTGCCGCAAATACCACAGGCCTCGATCTTAACATCGACATCTATAATCGGTTAGAATCAGGAAGAGGGATCGTGGAACCGACCGTCCAACTCACCGTAGTCGCCAAAAGGTTTCAGCTTGAACTGTTAATCACAATTAACTTGGGTAAGCCCATATCCTAAACAGCACACAGAACAGAGCACATACGTGACGCTTGTGGAACTGGGTGAAGCTGTCAGGTCCATCGACCTGGAAGCCTTCAGCTTCTTCGGGGTAAGGCATTGTGATAAGAATGAACGATTGGTCTGGAGAAGTCTTTGTCAATGACTTTATGTTTCTTGGGATACAGTAAAGAAGTTAAATAAAAACCAGAAAAGAAGTAGAAACGAGGAAACAAGCGAGATGGACGGTGCATCTCAACGCCACTAAATTTCACACCCTAGTGGGAATCGCAAAACATTCCCTATTCTTCCTATGCGGGATCTAGTCTTGAAATCCATTGTGACACTGCGGACTCCATACTGCTATAGAATATGCCTGTTTCCCTCCAGTCGGATATTATCCAGTGGGACCCGCCGGGTAATTGAGTAACTGGGAGGAATCAGAGCGCAGGACTCGGGATTTGATGTCGCCCGAGAAGCGAATCAGTACGATGAATAGAATCAAGTGATCTGGGAAGCGTGGGGTGATTGTTCTATGCAGTGGGGTAGCACACTACGTAGCTGATAACGCTAGCTAGGTAGAGTCTTGAGGTCTTTAAGTGGACGGATTCTCGCCGATTTAGAGGTTTTTCCACCTATAAGCGTGTAAGGAGAAATAATCTCCCGGTTTGTCTTTATCGATAAGAAGTGGGATGACATAGGGCTTGGGCTTAGGGCTTGGTGTTTACACTGGTGTGGTCTGGGTATGCCAAACATAGAACAGCCACAGTCGATGATGACAGAAAAAAAACACCCATCACTTAAGCTCGATGTACTAGCTCGCCGCTCGGCTTAGTCGATCGGAGTGGGGATGCTCCATGGGTCATGTACTTTGTGTCAAAGATAGCTTCATTGAAAGCACCTGGAGCGGATAGGTCTGGAACATTAGCAATCTCTACTGGTAATTCTTGGTTATCTGAGGTGTGCAGTAGCGGTTGCAAACCTGGTTTGACAGAACAAAATTCCCCTACTCTGGACTGTGGACTACACAGCGTACTCTACCTCTACATCCAGCCTCGAGGGCACCTAACAGCCAGTGAGACCTGGGGAGGAGGGAGGGGGGGGGGGTCGAGAAGGAGATGTTGTCTGTTCTTCCTACACTATCTCATCAGACTTTTCCAAAGGAAGCAAGTAAAGAACGAAGGCGATTTTAAAATAAGAAGCTTATTCGTTTGGATGGCGCGACGGGGTTCATCGGCTTCTAAACGCCCCAAACTTCCGGCCCCCGGTAATCTACGAGATTCTACGTTTCTGAAACACGGTTAACTACTGGCTGCTTGAACCCCTTGTCTCTGAATTTTGGTACTCACCGTGCCTTGGAACCTTTTCAATTCTAGAGGAAGGAAAAATTAGAGCACCCTGAAACAAAACGTTACACGCAATTACTGAGAGTGCAAGCTGCAGATGCGGTAGTCACAATCGGAGGGTGCACACATCATCTTTGCCACTATATATCGAATTTACTACTATGGGCAAGTAAATGGATCTGCCCGTTTAAAAAATTATCACAGAGCGCATCACCTGGTAAAGCCAATGTACTAGTTTGAATGAGAGTGCGACACACAAGCCTTAGTAAAGTCGATGTAGCCAACCTTGGAAAGAATCACCCCACCAATCAAGATCGAATGCCTCTCAGAGATGCCAAGGGAAACTCTAGCCATTCTGATGAGCCAATCAAAGCTAGACAGGCACAGCGGAGCTAGATGAGGGATTCCCATACAGACATGATTGTTCTGGTCTTAGGTCTGAACGATAGCGGTGAAGCGAAGGGTAAAAGGCCACACCCAACAAAGCAGTGATCGCGTCATGTCATAGTACTTCTTGTCAATTTGTTCCATGTAGTCATCTAAGGTTGGCGAGTTGAGCTCGGTAAATTCTTTCAAAATTAGAACGGGGTAAATTCAACTTGAAATTTGCCGTCAAAGTCACCAGATAGTACACGGGCACAATGTCTTTGGTCGAACACTACAAATCATGGTCTATAAAGCTCGCAAGTTATAACAGTAAGACCTTTTTAGTACAAGAAATGGGATTGGGAATGAATCAAACGCACTGGGAAGACTTCACTGAGCAAATAGACAGCCTATGGCTCAATTCCGTTTGCGAGCAATTCCATTTGATCAAGCAGGCCTCTCATCCCCCAGCTAACTAAAGCTAACTAAAGCTATGAGCTCAGCAGTCCAGGAGCGATCTTGACCACATGAGATCACATCTACCAGAGCCCATACATGTGGTTTGCGCGGGTGATCTAGCTCCATAGACCTGGCGATACTGATTCCTTTTGGCTGAGACGAATAACTTCGTTAGAGGTGAACATGTACAGGGCTTCAAGGCTTGCTAAGCCATCATAAGAAGCCAGTCAAATGCTAGCGCTGGAGGCTGAAATGTCTGTACCCGCTGTGGAATTCGGAGAAAAGTATAATTTCTGGGACTATGCCATTTTGGGAATTTCGACTTTCAACTTCGACAGTTCTCAAAACAAGGAATATGGCATGAGATCTAGGGAGTTTGCGGTTGATGACAAAAGGTGTCATAAAACAGTATACATTGACAAAACCCGAGGTTATGGAACTTGGTATATGCAGTGGAATTATGTTACTAGACTTTGGATATAAGCTCTTTTCCTATACTTCCAAGCCATTATGCCACATCGGGCAAGGTCAATTCCACATCAATAGCAGGCTTGATCTTATCAGCGACAGCCTGGTACTGAGCATCAGTAAGACGGCTGAGAGGTCGACGAGGGAACCCGCCGTAACCGTAGTATGACTGGATAGCACCCTTGGTGCCGGGAATGGAAGCCTTTGTGAGAACCCAGTCGGCAGCACTGAGTTGCTGCTGGACCTCGATGGCCTCTGTGAGACGGCCTTCAGACCAGAGAGTAAAGATGCGGACACACAGACGGGGAAGAACGTTGGCGCCACCGGCAAGAATGGCAGAGCCACCAGAAACGAGGGTCTGCAGAGCAAAGTCGGCAATGCCGCCGAAGGCAAGGTATGGGTGCTTGGCGTTGGGCTTGGTGACTGTTGCGGTACGCTGAGCCGGAGCTAAGGGGGAGGAGGGGGTGATGGCACCGAGAGCGGTAGCGACACGAGTCAGCTTGCCGGTGTTGGCGCAAGTGAACTTGGTGCCGACGATGTTAGGGTGTTCAGAGATACGGATGATGAGGTCGGAGTCCATGTCGATGCCAGCGACAGCACCAGGGTAGTTATATAGGATAATAGGAACAGGGGAGCCATCGGCAACGGCTGTGAAGTACTCGTATAAGGTTTCGTCATTGCCGACTGCGGTGCGGTAGTAGCTGGGGGGCACGATCAGGACGTACTCGCCACCAGAAGCAGCGACCTCCTTGCACAGATCAATGGTTCCGCGGATGCTGTTCTCGCTGGCGCCGGAGATGACGGGCACGTTGGAGAAGCCAGCTTCATCGAGAGCAGAGCGGGTTTCCCGATTGACAGTCATACGCTCTTCACGGCTAAGATGCACAGCCTCGCCGTTGGACCCCATGGTCACTAAGCCGACAAGGCCGGCCTTGGCTAAACGCACAGCGTGTCGGCGAATGGAGGCGATGTCGAGCTCTTCGGTCTGTGCATCGAAGAAGGTCATCGTCGGCGCATAAACGCCGGGGCGGAGTGGGGTGAGAGGCATGATTCTGGAGTTTAGGTGAGCTGATGTTCACGGATGTTGATGATGTGATGCCCTACTTGGAATTGGAGGGGTATACATCAACAAAACATCACTGGCACTTGACATTCTTATGACTTTCTTCGGGGCATCCTTCTCCCCTCCCCCACGTCGGCGAATGCACCGAGGCACTGACGGGGAATTGTATTCCACCAATCAGCTTAAGCTCAAAAAATGTGTGGGGGGGTGGGGGGGCATGAGGGGCAGAAATGACGAGGAAACGCGGTTTTCATCCGGCGATGGCGTCGAAAAGGCTTTACATGAGTCTGATATGTGATACATTGGTAGTTGAGATCATGAAGATTAAGCACAATGGTGTATTCGCACATATCTCTTTACCTCAAAAGGAAGAGTGGAGTTGATGAAAAAGAAAACGGTTGGCGTCAACCACCAAGTCGATAAGATACGGCTATTGAGCTGGCATTTCAAATGCCGGAAGAATTATGTCCAGCGATTCAACACCCCGGCTCTATGTCAATTGCTTTAAATTTTGTTCCCACCCCCAGAAACCCCCCTGGAATTCAATCACCACAGATTTCACAGACAAAATGGCTCCTCCTAGCGTTTTGATGGTATGGAAAATGATCCCCGCAGTACAGATCATAAGCTAACTGAACCAGGTTGGCACTGGTGAATACACCACCGGCTTCGTTGGCGGTGGTGCATCTGGTTCAGACAAGAAGGTCGGCGTGGTGGGCCTCAGTTTATTTGACTTGCGCCGGCGGGGCAAGGTGGGCGACCTGAGCATGGTGGGCGTATCAGGCAAGAAGTTCCCTGGTATCCGTAAGTTGAGCGAAAGATCAAGCAAGCAAACAGGAATTGAACCAAGAGAATAGGTGACCACTTGCACCGCAACATCTCTCAAGTCTACAACAACCTCGATACCTCGTTCGCCTCGTTCCCCGCAGACGACCAGACCGACCCCGACGCATACAAGACCGCCATTGATGCCCTCCCCAAAGGATCCGCCATTACAATCTTCACCCCCGATTCTACTCACTATCCCATTGCACTGTACGCAATTGAGCGCGGCCATCATGTGCTCATCACTAAGCCAGCCACCCAGCGTCTAGAAGACCACCTAGCTCTGGTCGAGGCCTCACGCAAGCATGGCGTCTTCGTCTTCATCGAGCATCACAAGCGCTTTGACCCTGCCTACTCTGATGCGCGAGCTAAGGCAAAGACCCTCGGCGACTTCAACTACTTCTATAGTTACATGAGTCAACCTAAGAGCCAGCTCGAGACCTTCAAGGCGTGGGCTGGTCGTGATTCGGATATTTCTTACTACCTGAACTCTCATCACATTGATGTCTGCGAGAGCATGGTCCCAGAATACAAGCCTGTGCGGGTCACGGCAACTGCATCTCAGGGTACCGCTGCTGCCCTTGGATGTGTTCCCGAAACCGAGGATACCATCACCCTTCTAGTGGAGTGGCGCCGCCGTGATAACCCGGCGAAGATTGCCACTGGTGTCTACACTGCTAGCTGGACCGCACCCCAAAATGCGGGTGTCCACTCCAACCAATACTTCCACTGTGAGTTTTTCCATTCTATTGCAGTTTACAGACCTTCGTTTAACACATTAGAACAGATATGGCCGCCACCGGTGAGATCCGCGTTAACCAGGCCAAGCGTGGGTATGAAGTGACCGGCGACGACCAGGGTCTCATTCATTTCAATCCGTAAGAACTCCATTCTCAGGATAACATTACACCATGGCTCCATCCTGACTCTATCATACTAGATTCTATATGCGCTACGCTCCTGATGAAGAAGGAAACTTTGGCGGGCAGACTGGATACGGCTACATCAGCTTCGAAAAGTTCATCGATGCCGTCACAGCTGTGAACGAGGGCCGTGTCACCCTTGACCAGCTGGACGCTCGCCCGCTGCCTACTCTACGTAATACCATCGGCACAACAGCAATCCTCGATGCAGGACGCAAGTCGCTGGATGAGAGGCGGCCTGTAGATATTGTCTCCGAGGGCGACAAGTGGGAGCTGAAGTAAAGAGTAAAGACGACGTGATAGGGTTTATTTTTATACCAATCACAAACGAATTGTTCTCTAATGGCCCTCGTACATAACTCATTAAGACCAAAGGCATACTCCACAACTGTCATGTGAAAGGCCTAGCTGCAAGGCCAAAAAATAGCAAGCAGATGAAATACGAACACAACTCGATTTCAGCCTTGCATCTTTTTTAAATCTTCTCTCCTCCACCGCGGTTTGTATTTTCCAAAATAAATCTTTCAGAGTGATGCGCCAAAAAGAGATTTATACCAAAATCACGCCCATCCCCCCATCTGTCCCCCGCCAACTAGCCCTGGACCCGTCGTATTCGTCGCGGAGACTGTCGGATCAAACGAGCTCTTCGTCGTCGCGTGCACCCAGATCGCCGACGGATTCGGTCCAACTCGTATCGATGGCTTCTGAGTATTCTATTCCTCTCCGGTGCAAGACGGACAGGAATGCAGTAAGAACCTTGCTGTGGAATTGCCAGCGGATTTCTATCATCCGCAAGCTGGAACTGATGAACATCAAGAGTTGCCGCACACTGGTCGATATTCGAAATCTTCACGGTTGGATAAGGGGGTATACGGAACTATCTGCTATGCAAGAGACTTCAGAGGAGCGTAATGAAGAGGTGTTACCTTGTAACCCTTGCCCACCAAAGGGGTGGGTTTTGAATCAAATGCAGACACGAAACTGCCATTTATTGTGTATCTTTCCTCTCCTCCTTTGGGCGTTTCTTTCCCATTCCAATTTTTATTCCCTAATGAAAGCCATTGATTTTGATCCCTATCTGCAAGCTAATAGTGTAACTATAATAGCTAAGTGATGTGAAGTGAGCACAGTTTCAGAAAGTCATTTGATCCAGATCCAAATGTTGCTTTCATAGAGATTCAGACGAACTGCTTAAAGCAGTCATAGTGGGCCTCTTATGCCCTTGATTTTATTCAAGCAAGATTTGCGTCTCAATAATGTTTTCGCACTCAGATACTTCTCCGGGAAGATTCTGGAAAAGATATCAGTCGTTTAAGCTTTACCTTTTTTTTCAGTTCGATGCGTTCGACTTCGAAGTCTCGGTCCCAGAATGGATCGTAAAAATGGGCCGCGAGTTTTATATCGTCCTTTTAACGACGATCAGTTCGTCGCCTAGTTTCTTGTATCGTTCATCCAAGGAGATTTTGGTCTGCGCTTGGTGAGTGGTGTCGAATAGGAAATGTGGAAGTCTACCACAAACATGGATTCGTAACGGCCGATTTAGATCACGATAGAGCTGAAGACACATAAGAATGTGAGGAGATCAGTCAATTTAGATCGAGGGACTCATTTCCCGCATTTACCCCCGGAACCGCGTACCAAGGTCGGATGCCGTAGCCTCACAATAGTGCTTCCAACGTTCCAAGGTCGATGAATATATGATTATATATTAGAAAGAAAAGAAGAGGGTGGAAACCCCAAAGCCACACGGCAGTACTCCATACACGAATGGGAGGGGAAAAAAATAGCAGCAAACGCATCTCGTGGTATCTTGCAAGAAACATCATTTAAATCCAATTAACGGCGGGAGCTCCCCTTGATGATCCCATCTTCACCCTTGTGCAGCTTGACACGGCACTGGGGGCAGTACCACTTGGCTGTGCGAGAGGGGACTTCAGACAGACCCACGCAATTGAGATGGAACCATTCACGGTCACACTGCAACAGACAAAAGAATTAGTATTCCGCTGGATCATGTCAAAATAGGGAGAACTTGCATCCTGATTTTCACAGCAGATCATCGTCCCAAAGCTAACATCTCCACAGAGACAGTATCGGGGCTCATTAGCATCGATCTGCTCGAGGACGCCGTCTTCGTCCACACGAACATCCTGAGAGTCGCGGATGCTGAGTCGCTTCTTTCCTGGCTTGGCTTTGCGGCGCCCGTAGCTTACTGCTGCGCCGCCATCTTGACCGGTAGAAATTGGACCTGGTGCTGGACGCTTGCGCCGGCGGGTCGGGCCGGGGACACTTGGAGCGTGTGAAGGCTCGCGGATGGGTATTTTGTGTGCAGGTGTCGCGCTTTTGATGCGGCGATCGCGTCCACTTGCTGCTATTGCGTTCGGGATGGTGATGAAGTTCCCGCCTTCAATTGAGGCAGCGGCTACAGAGCGCCGTGATGAAGGCCGAGTGACAGGCGGTGTGGGTGTAGTGACGACTGGTTGGACAAGGGATGGGTTGGAGGGTCCAGATGTGGGGCTAGGGATAGGAGGGGAGAATTTGGTTTCAACTGCGGGAGACATGTGGGTTTTGATTGGGGGGGTGAGGTCGTTAGTTTCTGCGGCTGGAACGGCTCCTCGGCTGGATCTGCGCCGAGACGCGCCAGCTCTGGAAGTGGGCACAGGGACAGGGGCTGGTGGTGCGACCGGGGCAGTAACTGGCGCAGGTTTCGGAAGCTCGGAAGCAGCAAGTTCTGTTGCTTCGGGGATGACCTCTTCTCGTTTCCTCTTCCGTGATGATCGATTCGCGGCTGGTGGTGCTTGGGCGGGGCTTAGCAAAGGCTTGAGCAAGACGCCACCTTCGCCTTCCATCATTGCCTGTTCACGGGCCAACTGTTCGCGTTTCAACTTCTTTGCTTCGTTGAGTTTCATTCCGCGATTGCTCAGCTTTGTCTCCTCCAGATCTTTGGCAGCCTCCCCGCGCCTGGTTTCTTCAATGTTATCACAGTCAATGAACTCCCCACCCGTCTCATCTGCTAGGGTCTTTGCGGCACGGTATGCTTCCCAACCTCGATTTGCCAGGGCCAGCTCACGGTGAATCATTACTTCACTCGGCTGCCACACAGCATTCTTTTTCATCTTCTTCCGCAGCCTGGTCATCTCCCATTCCGTCAATCGCAGCCAGGGCAGGTCCTCGCTGCCTAATTTCGCATCAGCTGGCGGCGGTTTCAACTGCGCAAGGGCCTGGGCTGTTGACGGTCCGTTCCCCAAGCTCAGGTGACGTGCTTTCTCCTTCTTTGGGGGTTGAGCGGGTTTAGGGGCAGATTTAATGAATTCACTTTCCAAGTCCGATTGCTCAGTACTGGCAAGTGGAGAGTCTGGGTCAAAAGCTCCATCACCACCTAGCATACGCCTCCTGTTTTTTTCTCTCCTATTGCGATTGTTGTCCAAGCGAAGGGTGATACGCGTCGTGGCATCTTTGGTCTTCTTGCCTCCCCGCGAACGTTTCGGTAGAGGCTCGGGTGGGGGTGATGGTTCCTCGGAGGCAGGCTTGGGCAGCGCTTCGAGTTTTTGGCGGATGCAGCCTAATCGGTCAAAGTGGCGATCTACAACATCATAGAGACGACAGGCCTCGGCATATGCCGATTCACGCGCGTTGATAGCACGATCTAATTGCGACGATATATCTTTGCGCAGTGCGATTGGGCTGGGTCGATTATCCGAAGGAAGGTCTGGGAGCTGACCGTAGATCTGAGTGAGCTGGTGTACCGCTTGCGCCGAGTCGAGGTATCGGTCATCGAGGCCGCGGATGAGGGTCAATGAGCGGATTAAGTCTGCGGGGAGGTATTCAGTGTAGTCGATAAAGTCAGTGACCGTAGCCTGCGCGTCAGGATCGAAGGGGCCATCTAGGATAACCCCTCCGCTGTCGTCTGTTTCGTCGGTCATGGGCATGTTCTAGCGCGATAGTGGTGGATGTTGATAGGTTGTGGAAGGGGGAGTCGCGACTTGAAGATTCGATGGATGTTGAGAGATGCCAAGTTCACTGCGATTCTGCGATGTTAAATGAGGACATCGAGGGGTCTAGGCGTCAGATCACAGATGGAGCTGTGTGCCTTGCTGCACGAGGTCCTGAAACAACGGATGATAGTTATTCCAATGCCGTCTGGGGAGCTGTTGGTCACGTGAGCTCATCCATTTAAGGGAGCCATATACCAAGTCCTATGTACTTGGTTTTGACGATCGGGCACCGGCTTCCTTCTATCCACTTCCAGTAATCACGAAATTTTCCCCTTGCTATCTTCAGTTCACTCCCTCCCATACAAGATTCGCCATCTACGTGAGTCGGTTTTGACCAATCACAATGGCTTGCCGATCGATCCCCACAGGCATCTGATAGAAGCTCGGTCCACGTCTCAGAAGGTCTCCGAGAGTGTTCCAACTCTTCCTCTCAGTACACCAGTCAATTCAGAAGCTCCTACAGAACCATGAGGGTTCTCTATAGGGGTAGAAAGTAGAGCCATCAAGCGACATTAAAGCCCTTTCAGGCCATGATTTTGTTTATCAAAGCATCTGTCTGTGTACATCGTGGAATATAATGAGCACCTGGACATTGCGAGAGCCCCGGCGTAACAAATGTTTTGCTCTGTCTTAAATAGTATGGTTTCCTGTATGGATCGGTCTACAGTTGATAGCCAATTCCTATCTAGCTTCAGCCTTGGTCTTTAAATTCAAGGGTTGATTCAACTTCATCTGACTTTGAAACGTCAAACTAAAGTACTAATCATTTCTTTTGAAGAGAAACATAATCACAGGGACATTAAGAGAGATACGTTGATCTCTTTAATGTACTTCACTGCAAGCTACATGCTCACCTTAGGCGGATTCCTGAACACCTCCATCGTTCTTTCCCCCCGTGAACACTCTCCCCTTCCACGTGGATCGTTCTTTCCTAGTCGAGCAATTTGAATCTCGAAGGGCTAGCGTGCGTTTCCTCTCGCGTTTGTTTATTTTCATTTGATTTTCAATCTTTCTTTACCTCTTCCCATCTTGATCCTACCTTTTTCGATTTTTGCTGAAGCTTGTTATCTCGAACCTTCAAAATGGATGTTCGTGAGCGTTTGAAGATGCTCCTCGAAGGAGATGAGAGTCTCAAAGACTTGGATACCCACTTGAACCAGGCTCGAGCCGTCCAACCTGCCCTAGATGCGGACAGAGCTGACCCTGCCGAGTCCAACAAAGCTAAGCAAGGCGTAAGTGGATATGCTCTCCCAGTTGATTTTGACCCGGGTAGTATGGAGTACCCCCAAAGTGGCCAATTTCCTTTGTCGTACATTCGTACCCATGTGGTGGGACAACTAGCTGAGTCAGAAGACAAGCGTTTGACCGAGATCAAGCAGAATGATCGCCCCCTCGGTCGTACCCCAAAGATGCGCCTTGATCTCTCAGGCTTGCTCAAAGATGAGCATGGCGGCGGTGCGTCTGACAGGGATTCCGACGAGGAGGTCACTCCGATCCCAGTTTCCAAGTCGTTCACGTCGGCCGTCACAATGGCTCGTTTCCCTTTCAAATACCTCCAAGGAGCAAATGTCAAGAGAGTTAATGAGCGGTTCTATGAGGGCGATAAGTTCTGGAATCGCACCTGGGATCTGTTTGTGAAATCTAAAAATATTTCATCAGCAAGGTACATCGTCGCTAATACTCACCCAGGTATTATCTGCCTGTCCCAAAGGTTGTTTTGCAAACCCCATTTCTTTTGATTCGCACTTCCCAAGCTCAAGCACTGCTCGATGAAATCAACTCGGCTCTGAACCTCAATTTAACTCTCACGGGTGTTAGCAAAGAAGGCCTCGTGATTGAAATCGACAATGAAAAGCTGCCGCAGCCCGTGTACCTTGGACGATGCAGCAACCGCGATCGGAAAGCGAAATTGGAGAGCAAGGTTCCCTCGCCTCTGGAGAACTGGGGACCCTGGACCCAGCTCGTTGAACCCCATGTTTTCGAGAACTATGAGAAGAAGATCAAGCAGTCTGTCGCCACCATCAAGATCAAGAATAGCATCCACAAGCAAGCGGCCCGAGATGCCCGAATGAAGAAGTGGCAGGAGTGCCTAGGCCATATGCAAGCCTACTTTGGGCTGCGTCCTGCGTTGCAGTCGAATGTTCCGCAGCCGTCGTTTGCCAATGGTCAGATTGAAGCGATTGATGTTCTGAAACCCGTCAAATGGGCCTTTCAAGATGCTCCTATTTTCATCAGCATTGATCTGGAGTGGATGGACTGTTACGGATCTCTGGGCTCTCTGACCGAGGTCGGAATTTCCACTCTGGATGTGTTGGATTTGGTCGGTGTGGTCCCTGGCGATTATGGAGAGATATGGGTGAAACGAATTCGATCCCGCCACCTGCGTGTAAAGGAGCATCGAAACTGGGTCAACAAAACGTACACTCCCGGATGTCCTGATCGCTTCCGATTTGGCAAGAGTGAGATGATTCCCTACGCCGAACTCCCGAACGTTGTGGACGCTGCATTCCAACCCCCCTACATGGTTCCCTCGGAGGAAGAAAAGATCGCCCCGTACAAGAACCAGAAGCGCACTGTGATCTTGGTCGGTCTCGACCTCCATGGTGATGTCGCCCATCTCCAGAGAGCGGGGAGCCAAATTTTTGTCAATCTGAACGAAACCACTTCGGTCATTCGTGAGACTGTTGACGTGGCGGAGCTGTACCGTGTTAGTGCCGGGGAGAACCAGAACCGGGGTCTTCGGGCACTGCTGGGACAGCTGAATATTTTGAGTCCCGACCTGCACAATGCTGGAAATGATGCATACTACGCCTTGCACGCTCTTGTGCGATTGATGCTGAGAGTAGCTGGGGAGAAGGTGTGGGGATATGAAAACGCCAAAGTCGGTAACGAGGAGCCCAACGTTAAGCGCAATGATGAGTGCAAGAAGGAGCCTCCGTTCACGGCCAATCCCAAGGATCAACGCAAGGATCTGCGCGACAGACCCACATTTGAATCCATGGCCGCAATGTACGAAGAAGCCGATGACAACACTGACGAAGTCCCGGTTTGGAGTCACTAAGACTGGCGTCCAACTACACTCCAGCGATTGTCAATTCACGAAAGTGAGAGTGACATAGTGACTGGAACCTTGAAGTCAGGTTGAGAGTCGTTTAAACACATCTCGTCGGATGCCTTTGATAGGATGAATGGGCCCAGTGAGGTTTCAATTTGAACAGAATGCGTGAGATCAAAATGTGTGAAAAAGTAACAAAAAAACATAGGGGGTGTGTGGCTAGTTCTAGCTTGCTATGATCTGAGCTGAATGAAATCTCCGCTGAAATGAGATTAAATCCTGTTCTAAGTAATGCGCACACGTTAAGAAGCAACAGTAAGTGTGATGATGGAATTGGTATACCCCGGATGTCAGGTCCACTGACGACATAACTTGTTCATCCCATCATCGCCTCCATTCCACAATCTGAATCTCCATTCTCTCCCATCCAACACCAACCTCCTCCAACAACCACCACCACCACCACAAAAAACCAAAGGAAAAATGACAAGTCGAGGTCCCCTAACCGCCTACCTGCTAGCAAGCACCCCCAATGCGCTCAAGCGCGCAACAACCCACCCCTTCCTCGCCTCCGCTGGCCGCGGCACCCTCCCAAAATCCCAACTAAGCCAATGGCTCTCTCAAGACCGACTCTACGCGCAATCCTACATCCGCTTCATAGGCCTCCTCCTCTCCAAAATCCGCCTTCCAACCCAAAACCCAACATCACCAGGCCCACACCTCCCAACCCCAGAGCACAACGCCATAACCGTCCTCATCGACGCGCTCGTCAACATCCGCAGAGAACTCGAATTCTTCGAGAGAACAGCAAATGACTACGGCCTAGATCTAACGGCTATCTCCGCCGAAGAAGGCGGCTGCACACTCACATCTTGCGGCTTAGGCTCGGATATTACCACTTCCGTTGGTATAACCACCACCGGCTCTGGAAGCTGTCCCGGCATCACGGGCGGCGAGGACGAAGATCCGCAAGAGAACGAGAATGGGAGCGGGGACCTGTGTGTTCCATCGCCGGACAAGACCAGCAGCGCGCCCGGCCACGGTCTATGTGCGAGCCAGGGAGAATGCCAGATGCCGTCTGGCGGGGGAGTTTGTGCGCCTGGGCAGCAGTTCAATGAGTCTGGACGGGGCGTGGAGCCTTCTGCGGTTGGTGGGGATGTGGGGGGGAAAGTAGGTGTGCAGGGTGGTGGTGAGCGGTGTGGGACTATTTTCTTCTGTGCGAGTCGGACAACTAGGGCTTATATTGATATGTTTATGTCTGCTGGGAGTAGTGGGGTTTCGATTTTGGAGGGGTTGGCGGTGTTGTGGGCTACGGAGGTTTGCTATTTGAAATCTTGGAGGTTTGCGGCGGGGTGTATGCGGGAGGATGGGGAGAGGGATTATAAGAAGGATGCTGATGGGGGTGCTTTGAGGGAGAAGTTTATTGAGAATTGGGCGAGTGTTGAGTTTGAGGGGTTTGTTGATCGGATTGGGGATGTTGTTGATGAGATGGCGGGGCAGATCAAGGGTGCGGAGGAGTTGGAGATTACGCGGGGAAGATGTTTGGAGTGGTGGAGGCAGATTGTTTGGTTGGAGGAGAGTTTTTGGCCGGGTGTTGCTGAATGACATAAAGTTATCTGATCAACTTAAACTCTAGATTAGATTTAAACGTTACTACAATTTCGAGAGCTGTGTAAATTCTATTGCAGTTAAAAAATAATTGTGTGGAAGATATCATACATCTGACCCGAAGCCCATACATACAAGGCCATCTAGAACGGGATGTAGCAAAGGCAAGAAACTAGACGGGGAAAAAAAAACGCCGTCCACAACCGTCCGAGTTAAAATCAAATCGAACTCCGATACCCAATCTCTGCTCCCAAAATAATGACAGTGTCATCGAGCAAACCTTCAAGAAACACAAGCATAGAAATGACATAACCGACCAACACCATTCGTAATGCGGAAGCATGAAGCATGAAAAAAGTGGTTAACCACATGGACACAGTCTGTAAAATGGACATGTTGTACATCACAAGATAGACAGTCTGCGCCAACCATCGGAGTCAACATCAAGTAGCAGCCGCACGGGCAGCATTGCCTAGTTGTCGATGGTATGAGCCAATAGGTTCGAAGCCCCTGAGAATGGTATTAGTTCCTGGGCACTGATTGGGTTAAAAATCATTGTAGGAAAGGAAACATACCTAGCTAGATCAAACCCGGACCCATTGTCATCTTCATCCTCTTCCCGCTCTTCATTCCTCGCATGGGAGTTCCCATTCGGACCCACATCCCCCGAATCCGACTGCAGCGGAGGCAGAGTCCGACTGGAGCCAAGCCCATTCGACGTCCCAGGTTTGCTGGGACTAACGAAATTCGGCGGCGGGGGAGAGCTACTCGGGAACCCGCCGATAATGCGGTCCTCGATCTCGCCCTTCAGAGGACTCATGTCCGGCGGCGGGCGGGCAGGAGTGCTCCCGATATCAGCGAACTTCCAGAACTGCGCGGGCGAGCTCATGGGCATGAACTTCGACGGAATCTGTGCTGTGCTGGGGGGCGGGAGACGGGGTTGTTGGCGTTGTGGGGCAGGGGTGATCATTGAAGAAGGTTCTTCGTTGTAGTAGGACGAGGAGAGGATTGGCGGAGACCCGGCTACGTTGTCGGACATGCCGTACGCGCGGGCCAGGTTGTTGCTGCTGTTTTGCACCTGGGTGGAGATGCTGGAGTTGTGATTGTGCGAGCGCGACGGGAGCGGCGAGGGTTCGTCGTAGTCGCGCGGGTTCATGTGCCGCAGCGGGTGGTCGGAGCCAAGGCCTCGACCGAGCTGGGAACCACGCTCTGGTGTGTACGCTTCCACCGGAGCTACAGGAAATGAGCTAAACCCCGGGGACGAGACGGGTGGTGACTTTCTCGCTGTTGCTGAGAACGAGGTGTCGAGTTTGCTAACGTTAGTTCCGCGTGCTGATGACGGGGGCTCTTTCGTCGCCGGTGAGGACGGAGCAGATGACTGCGTGCCGCCCTTCCGTGTTTGCTTCTTGCGGTACTCTTCCCGATACTCCACTGCAATCTGCCACTTCATCCCCTTGCCCGGCTCGTCGGTCCGGCGGGGAACCTTTTGGAATGCCTTGTTCAGGGAGAGATTGTGGCGGATCGAATTCTGCCAACCGCTTTGGGAGTGTCGATAGAAAGCGTATTTATCCATGATCCAGTTGTAGATGCTGTTCAACGTGAGCTTCTCCTCCTCGCTCGAGAAGATAGCCTGCGCTATCAGCGTCGCATAGCTGTACGGCGGCTTTAGGTCCTTGGATGAATCCTGGCTGTAATCGATCTCCTCCGTGCTTTCCATCATCATGCCTCGGTTATAAAGCGGGGATTGTTTAGCCGTGCGCTGGCCGGCGGTGTCGGGAGACCGGGGCGGTGGCGTCACCTGGCGCTTGAGGAACCTCGGAGCAGGCGCCAACGAAGGTCCGCCAGACGAAGATGGTGGCACAGCCTCGTCATTCTGGGATTGCTGAGGATGGGCATGCTGCGAAGCATCCCAGGAGATCGAAGCCGGATCGGGCTCTTGTCCGCTAGCAATGCGCTGGGCGCGCTCGATAAAGCTGGGCTGGATTATGGCTTCGTCGCCCGGCGTGACAAACATCATTTGTGTATTGGCCACCTCGATAATGTCGCCACAGGAAAGAATCGCATCGGTGCCGCGCTTCACAATGCCATTGTTCAAGCGAACACCGTTCCGGCCATTCACACGGATGTGCCAGGCAGGCGTTTCCTCGCCATCGTAAAAGATCTCGGCATGCAGTCTCGACACGAATTTGCTGGGACCCAAGTCGACATGAACCTCTGGCAGCGCACGAGCCGCAATTGTGACGGGGCTGGATTGTTCGACAGCCCGCTGTTCACGATCCGGTTCGCGGCCGATATTGACATGCAGGGTTTTGACGTAATAGGTCCAGTTGCGGCCGGCGATCTTAGCATACGCCTGAATGCGCTGGGTATTCTCGGTCTTGGTGTTGGAGTGGTCGCGCGAGACGCGCAATTCCTCGCGGGGTGTGTTCAAGTATGAAATAACTAAATCGACTAGGTCTTGGTTGGTAGCAGGTTCGTGTTCGCCCGTTGAGTCCTCGGCTTCGTCGCCAGACTCATGTTTGACGTTTCGGGGAGGGGAGATGCGGCGGTCAACCTGCGGATCAGAAGAAAACGGGTCTTAGCTCCTGTTTGCGCGGGGATATATTTTGTCTCAGATTAAACGCCATGTTCCTTTAACTCACCTTGCGCTTCTTTGCGGATGGCCGGCTAGGCGATGAGTCCGGAGCCTCTGCATCGGAGGTTTCTTGCAGTTGAATTTCCTTGCGCCGCGCGCGGCGACGGTTTGTGAGTGGCATATCTCTGTGAAATTCACTCTTCCTTCTTTCCGGTGTGATTTATTGGCGAAGTCGATTCGTCAACGATTATTTTTTTTCCCTCCGGTTGCGTAGGCAATCAAGTCCGAGTCAAAGTACTCCACAAACAAGCGTGGGGCACTAGAGAGGAAATGCGATGGCAAGCCGAAGGCAAAATAGGCAAAAACACAAGAATTTTAAAAAAATAAAAAAAAACAGAGTGACCTCTTCCAAGGTTGGATTCGGATTTCAGCGCCCCCAGAATCGGAAGACCGTTCAGAGGTAGAACCGCAGAACGATGAACGTCAAAGCATGGGTTTGCCACCATGCAAGAAAGGAAAAGAAAAAAAGAAGAAAAAGAAGCCAGTTAAACCGTAAACTAGACCAAGAGGCTGGATGTCCTTTTTTTTATTAAAAAAAAAACCACCAACTCCCCCAATCGAAAGGTTGATATTGTGTGGCTGGATGTTAGTATCGATAATCCCTAGGCCGATCGACACGCGCGATGGCGTCTGGTTTGGGGGGGGGGGGGGGGGTGACCGCCTTGTCGCGTGGAGAACGTGTAGAACAGCAGCCGAAAGGACAATATAGAAGAAAGGTAAGATAGACAAGATGGACACGAAAGACAAGAGAGAAGGGAGAGAATATAGGAAAGACAAATTAAAGAAGAAAACAAATTGTACAAGTAAGAAAAAAAAAAGAAAATGAGGTGCGACTGGGATGTGACCGTAAACAGAGTGGTGGAGTTGGTCATAACAGCGTATGCATACAGGGAAAGTTGACCGATAGGCGGAGAGAGGACCGAAATACCAATACCAGAACGTGCTCAGCGTGGGATTGGGGATGCTTCCGAGTGCAGAGAGTGGAACATGTCCAGATGCAGAGGGTTCTATATGTACCTATACGTACCGGATTTTCCCTGGCGTGTGGGGCTTTCCTATTTGATCTGCCGCCGCTTTTATGAGGGTGCTCAGGCTCAAGCTCACTGAGTAGACGTCAGCACGGGCTCAGATCAGTGATCATGCTCAGATCAGTGATCATGCTCAGATCAGTCACGTGCAGAATGACTGATGCTCAGTGAGTGCT